TGTGTATGACGGAGAGCCAAATTGACTAGGGAAGGCAAAATACCAAGAGCGCGCCGTTCGAAAGGAACCCATCTATCCATTGACCAATCGCGCTGGCTCGGAGCCTTGCAAGTGGTGCGAGCCCCTAATTAGAGATTAGCGCCCTAACCGCGCGTTGTGCGCGACGAGAGTGACACGGTCTCTGTAAGTAGGGAACCAGCACGTGCACTCATGGCATTGTCCCACCCAGTGAGCTCAATCCGTGACTTGCCTTTATTGTACTCACGTCGCTTCCAGATGGCGCAAACCCTGCGAACATCTCCAGTTAGGGTGTGAGCAGAACCATTACATTCATCCGCTATTAAGTGTTATAGTTTGAGAAATGAAGATGAAAGTAAGGTTAGTGGAGTCCACAATAACCGAATTGTATGCCGAGTAGCGAAAATATTCTCTCAAGTCAAGAAGTTCGTATCCGGGTTACAAAAAATTGGAAAGCAAATCAGTTCACGAAGCAGAAATAAGTCTCTTTAGCTAAGGTGCTTCGAGGTAAATATCACAATTTGCAACGAACACTGAGCATAAATAACTTCATTTATGAATAATGTAGAAATGAAAACGAAGAGTCATATAAATTCAATTTCGAATTATAACTTATATCTTCTAGTTATTCGACCGATGGAACGCCGGTATTATCTACAGACACTTGGGATCCCCATTTATTGCGTTCAACGACTACTACATGATGAACGATCTCTACGGTTGCAATGGTTTGTCGTACTGCTTTGCTGAAAAGTGTTCCAAAATCTGCCAACCTACAGACAGATGATTCCCGCTCGTTTCCCTTCCCTATTCCCTGCATTAGTATTCTGCTGTCGAACCTTTCTTTTCCCCCGCCAATCAAAATACCTGAACATAATGGTACATATACTCATCCGGTCACACTTGTATACCCGAAAACTTTCTGTGCAACGAACCAAAATATGTATATAGTTCGACTGAGGTCATACCTTCAATGCGATTGACACATCATAAAAGCCTCAAAATATTTTCGCATCACATTCCACCATACTAATCTTTTATATGTATATTTCAGAAC